CACACACACACACACACACACACACACACACACACACACACACACACACAGGGAACCCCTTAAACCCCGAGGCTTATGTGGGCCCCTTTAGACTTTGAGAGGACACACACACACACATTCACACACACTGGTATCCGTAGCACCCCTACACACAGAAAAACACACACTCAAAATGCCTTCCTCGCGCCGCGACACTCGTCTAAGCCCTGAACACACACCACCTGAGACTATAACCCCCTCAAACTGCTCACACACGCACAGTCTGAGCCTATTAAGCCAATTGTAGCAGTCTAAACAGGCACAAAGCTGAGCAGTGAGGTAGGTAACCCCTCAGGGCCACGGAGACGAAAACAGAGTCAAAGAAAGAAAAAAGGAGGTTGGGAGAGGGAGCAAAGCAGAGGGGTGTGGAGAGAGAGGGTGAGGTGAAGCAGAGGCACGGAAAAAAGGGAGGAAAAGGAGGAAGCGAGAAAGGGGGAAGTGGAAGTGATGGAGGACAGTAAGAGAAAAGGGGATGATGAGGATGCTGAGTGATTAAAAAAAAGACAGTAAGAGTTACAAGTAGAAACTGAATGGCAGTCACACACACATAGACACACACACCCAGAGGAGAAGAGTGGTTGTGGCTCTTTAGGAGTCAAGCAGGCGTATGATAGGATAGCGTTGCATGTCGTTAACCCTATATTAACCCTGAGAGGCAGTGGGATGCTCAGTGTGCTATAACAAGGATTAACTGGGCCACACACACTCACAGATACACTCATACGTACATGGTACGATGGGCTAGCTGTCAGTCACACACATGTGCGCACAAGGACTGAGAGACACGCAATGAGCTGTCAGTCACTCTCTTTAATGGTTCGCACAGACAAATGTTTGAATTTGTTAAAGCATGAGTAATGTGTTTAAATGAGCGTGAGCCTTAACTCTGTTCACATGTCGATGTAACGTTTAAATGGTATGTAGATAAGTGTGCTTATGCATATCTCTTCATCTGCCAGTAACCCACTGCAGACTTGGCTGTAGCAACATTTTGGAGCCTTTTCTCTCTACTGTGCGCTGTATATGCTATAATGTAATATCAGTTTCACTTGGCTGAAACCATCCCTGCAGAAGCGTTGGGCAGCATTTATACCATGGAACAGTATCCAGGTCTTAGGGCAGTGGTTTCTTTTCTTTCTGAGAGCTTTCTTTCCAATTTTATGCTGATATGGGGCTCGTTTTAATGTGAGTGCAGATACTCTTCTTTCCTCCAGCATCTCCACAAAAGCCTTTGCTGTTGTTCTGGGATTCGTTTGCACTGTTCACACATTAGTTTCACGGAAACAGAATGCATCTCCTTCCTAAGTATTACGACTGTTGCCCGATCCCATGGTATTTATACTTACATACTATTGTTTGTACAGATGAACATGGTATCTTTCAGGAAATTGCTCACGAGGATGAACAAGGCTTCTGGAACGTCACAATTTTTTTCCAGTGTCGGGGCAGTTTCCTTTGGTTTTCCCATGATGTCAAGCAAAGGGGCCAAGACACACATCGCACTGAATCTGATGATGCTGATTAGCTCATCACAGGCTTCTAACGCTAGTGAGCAAGTTTTCAAGCTGTTTTAATAGCACACTTACTTAAAGTGCCTGGCAAAGTATGTGGACTGGTGGTCCATACATTCACGTGGAAAACAAAGTTTCTACAGGACTCTATGTATTCCTTTGAAAAACTAAATTGTCGTATGTCTGTATGACTTTGTCAGCCTTTTGCATTGTGAATGACTTAATTGTGGAGGAAAATCAGCCCACTCTTCCTTACAGCATTGCTTCAGTTCACTGAGGTTTTTGCACAGCTCGCTTAAGGTCCCACCACAGTATTTCAGTCAGGTTGAGGTTTGGACTTTGACTTGACCATTGCAACGCCTTCATTCTTTTCTTTTTCAGCCATTCTACTGTAGATTTTCTGCTCTGTTTGAGATCATTGTCCTGTTGCATGATCCATTTTCAGCAAAGCTTTAGCTGTCAGGCTTGGCCTCACATTTGAGTCTTGGTGCTGTGCATTACGACCAAACATCTCCAATTTGGTCTCATATGTCCAAAGGACATTGTTACAGAGGTTTTGTGGTTTGTTCAGATGCAACTTTGCAAACCCAAGCCGTGAATAAACGCCCCAGACCACCAAACTGCCAAAACGTCTTCTTCTATTGAGGCGCTCACATGTGCTGACGGTCAGTTAAGTGCATTAGCGTCCATCATCCCACATTTTCACATAACTATAAATCCAATGCGGAGCTTGGCACGTGCACATCCGCATGTTGTAGCTTCATACTATCACCAGAGGGCAGTGTAAAAAAAACAGATCACAGACAAGAATGTGGGACACTCTTGTTTATGTTTGTGCTGTTTTTGGTCTTTTAGTTGAGCCGTTAAAAAGAAGGAATTTATCACAGACATCTTTGTAGCGAAGACGCCATTTTTTGTTTCATTTCTTCTTCATCCCGAAACATTGGCATTACCTTTCAGTTCAAGCCAAATTGTCAACCAATCTGGATTGTACCTTTGTAACTATTATAGCTAAATGCAGCATACACTTGAGTATGTATAACCACAGATGCAGGGGGATATATCTGCTAAACCCTTAATGTTTTCATTGTAACTGTTTAAAATAACTATTAAAGTTACATTTTGAATATTTCTTTGGAGTGGGTGAGTTAATTCGAGCTCTACTTCTGTTTACAATCAATGACACTTTAAGCTGTCATTTTGACTTTGCCTCATTCTCTCTCCACATGTTTGCGTCAAACAGCAGAGCTCCAGATGTTACACCAAGAGGCTGTGAACCACTGCAAAGTGGAGGGGGCAACAGGAAGTATCCCACGGTATCCACGGTAACCTTGACATTCCATCTTGACCAAGTTCCCTGACATCTCCCACAATTCACTCCGCTTTTCTCCTCCTGCCGTGGAAAATGAGACGTACACCCCCTGTGTGTGCGCGCACACACACACACACACTTCAATAGTCATCAAGCATCAATGTAACAAACAGTGACACACGTATTATGATTATGCAGCTATTACTTTGTCAGTTTGTGTCTAATATATCAGCTATTCTTTTAGGGGCCAAACCCAAGCCTTGGCCATGAATCCACACACGCAGATTACATACACACTTTCTAGGCAAATATATAAAAGGCTGTAAGCTGAGACGTTTGAGATAGCCGACAAAACAGAAGAATTGGGCGGTGGTGCGGCAATACCTATAATATCCTTCACGAACACACAAATGCACGTATAGCGTATGACACACGCACACGTTTGTGCACTTAATAAGATTTCTCCAAACACAAAGAAAAAGAGGAAAGAGGAAAGAGGAGTTTTGCACCATATAGAGCGAAACCTTGTACATCCCCTCCAAAGTGGCGAGAATAAAGAATCTCATTCATGCCAAATTATCCCTGTAATAACCTTTCTGACCTCTGTTTGCGGCGCTGATCACACTGATGTTTGTCTTTATGAACCTTTAGTGAAGAAGCACTGAAGGACAGTCTGTAGATACAAAGCTGAGAGTCTATGGTGTGATTACTGTTCATCAGACGCTCATAAGCCACAATATTTAAACCTCAGTTTCAATTGTGTGGTTCCTCACGCCACACAATGGGGGTATGCTTAGGGTAGGGCATGGGAACACTGTCAGTGGATCGTCTGGGTCCTGTAAGTTGTGGAGTGTTTCCTCCGTATATCTCACTTGGTCTAGCACATCTTACATGCAGTATGATTGGACTGGAATCTGGAGATCTGGATATCCCGAGGCAGGGTCAAAACCCCGAACTCTTTGTCGTGTTTCTTGAGCCATTCCAGAGAAGTCTTTGCAAGAGTACTAGTGCCTCAGGGAGTGTGCTTGGACTGCAACAGTGTCTAGATGCTGTGAAAGTAATATCCACATGAATGCCGGCACCCACTGCACTGCAACAAGAAGATCTGAGGTATTTACCTCATCTGTCAGTGCTTTTAATGTTGCAGATGATCAGCTTATATTATAATTGCCAAAAACCTTTCACAAACTGAAACTTAAACATCTGGTCATGGTGAAGTAGGAAAAAAAAGAAACACTTGGTACAAATCTGCAGGAATATGATATTTTGTACAGTGATTTAAGTTGTGTAACAATGTGGTGACAGGGAGTAGAATATTTCACTCCTCTTCCTGTGAATTACTCAAACACATGCAGACAGACCGACAGAACTGCTCGCAGAGGGTTAAAACAACTGCCAAGGAGAAATCAGATTAAAATGAGGTTGGATCTTATTTCAGTTTTTCTCTGTCACTTTTTTTTTGTTCTTCTTCGCTCATGACCCACTTTTCTGTGCTGCTGCAGGAGAGACAGAAAGAGGGGTGGGGTGGATGTTAAGGGAGGGATAACTTCAGTCCTCTCCTGTGACAGACAGAAGGGAAGAAAGAGAGCGACAGACAGACAGAGACGAGCGGCAGGAAAACAACAGACGACTCCTGCTAGTGAGCTGCTTTGTGTTTCGCGTGACGTAGAGGAAACACACATTCATCTGAGCACTCAAGTCTGAAAGTGCGCCTTTGGGATGTAACAGAGCAGCTGATGTGTATTTGTGTCCCCTCTGCAAAGATCGATGATTACGTTACTAGAGTGCGCATGTACATGCAGATAAAACCTGTGTGTGTGTGTCTGCAAGTGTAATTCCACACTGTCACCACCCACTCATGAGTCCTGCTGTTTGACTTATAAAAGCAAAATTGGTTTCTCAAATGCTTCCCGTGCATCTGAGGCCGCTGATTCTATCGAGGAGTGACAGCAGCTCATCCAAACACACAAACATCCTGTCCCACCGCGCCGTTCAAACGGGTCAGCGCACAAACCCTCGTCCACTGTGTGTCTGTGGGTGTGCGCAAGTGTGTGCGTAAGGAGAGAGAGAGAAGAGGCAAAGTGAGAGACAGTACCTGTCGATGATAACAGGGTCTGAGGGTGTCTCATTACGGTTTCCACAGCTCTTCTTGTCACAGCACCGACTACGGGAAGAGAAAAGAAGACCGTCAGGGAAGAAGACACAGGGCAAAGTGGGGGGAAATTTGGGCATAGGGTACATTTTATGGAATTTCCAGATTAGAGGTTTAAGTGGGAGTGTTGCACATTCGTCTGCACTGATAAAACAAATTTATTACAACATCTGCAGAATTTGTCCCAATCTGTCGAAAACAGGCCATAGTGAATTTTACTGAAAGTGTTTCAGAGAAATCTGCCCTGAAAGCAAGGATAAAAATAGACCTGCAAGACAAGGAAAGTGACTGTATAGCAGGATCTGAAGGAAATACACTGTGGGATTGCTGCTTTGACAAATACATTAAAAAAGACACTGCCGGATTTATTGTTGGTCGTGGTTTGTCTCACTAGTGGGTAATTTGTTGCTGTGGTCACTGCCTAGCATTTCTTTTTTCCATTTTCTCCACTTTTTACTGCTGAGCTGGTTGATATTCATTACCAGTGTTCCCAGTATAAGGTGCACCTTTAACCACAGTTTGCCCATCTGGCTCAAACAATCAACTATTAAGATAGTAGTTTCATCCGAATCCCAACAACCTCTCAAACATTCAGGTTTTTAGGATTGGGCTCAAATAGATGATTTAATTTTGCACAGCACATTATAAGAACTACGCAGGTAGTAATTTAGCTGACTAGCAAAATAATATAAAGATAAGTTCCAGAGCTCCAGGCACCAAGATCGTGTTTTGGCTTAAAACTGATCTTTTAACAACCTTAACCAGATGTTGCAAAGCTCCATTTTCCATTTTGCAAGATTGCCAGGAGTCCTGCCCCTACATTACACACGCATATACTAACATTACATGCTAGGTCACAATTTTACAGCGTTTATTGTAAAACACCATGCTTTGTGCTGTGGAGAGCCACAACACTTTTTCCTATGAAACTAGACTGTAATGGGGCATTACACCTATTTTCATAGCCCATGAAGGTGACTGCATAATATGATTGTAACTCTGGGGTTTTGTAAAGTCTCAGAATAATAACCTCTCCTGGTGTCAATATGATACTGTTGGGGTTATGAAAGGTTAATTAGTTAAAATCCCCTCCACATGTGTTGCAAGAAAATGTTTTCATGAGTACGTAATTAACAAGCTGAGATCATTTAGATGCTTATAGTCAAGTTTTTTCCAAAGGCAACATAACCAACAGCATAATCGTCTGGAAATCGAGCGCGAAAAGTCCATCCTAATTGTACTGATGAACCATCAGGTAAAGTGGAGATGGAAACAAAAAAGAAGCCCGAGGCTCCAAAAACACGTGGGTGGTATACACACACGCACACGCATGCACGCACATATGTGAGAAAAAAAACAAAACACCTGACATGGTTACCGAAATTCACACGTGTACTACAAGTGTGTCAAAAAGGCTTTCTTCCATGCATCAATTATGAATAAAGGTGTAAGCAGGAGGGCGGAGGATAAAGATGGCTATGGGTGGGGAGGGGGGGGGTAAAGAGTGAGAGGGTGTGCGTGGGATGGAGAGCTAAACGAAGAGGGTGAGAAGGGGAGGGAGGGGAGAGGAGGGGTCTGGGTGGGAAGAAGAGGAAGGGGAGACATCTCGGGTTTCCCGCTGTCACAGATGGCAGAGGTAGAAAGAAAGCGACTGATACGTTACACCTTTCTCATTGTCTCCGCTATCTGCCGCTCTTTCTGCTCTCGCTGTCGTTTGCTCTCTGCCGCTCTATGAACTGGGTCATTACACTGTAACTTTGGAGAGCAGAGCGCAGCAACAGAGAGAGGTTAGAGAGAGGAATCAAGCAGGAGATCAGGGACCGGGGTGGGAGGTGAAAAAGGAAAGCTAAACCAGATGAGGGAGAGGTAGAGGGAAGGGTGGGTGATGGCGTGGGAAACAGAGGGGATGGAATAGATGTGAAGGAAACTTAAGGGACAGAAGAGGAAGTGGAGGAAGGAGAAGAGTGTTTTATGCTATGAAAGGAGAAGGAAGGGGTGGGATGGGAGTAATGCAGGACCTATATCTGTAGATGCTGGTGAGCTAATCATCTGCTCTAACATGCATCTCCCACCAAACACACATAAGACATGATTTTCACCTGATCTTTAATCACTGAAACAATGAGTCCAAATCGATGCAAAGTCTCTTACTTGCAATTTACATGTGTTGGGAGGGAAAATGCCAAAATAAATTCACAACTTACAAACTTTGTTTTTTGTCTCTGTAAATGAAAAATCTTTGGATATTGACTGTTGGTCAGTCAAAGCTAATTAGATAATGGGTGTTTAACTTTAATTTTAATAGCCAGAATGATTAGCAGCTATGTTAACATGTCAGTGATCACATGATATAAATAAAGTCAAGAGATTAGCCTTAGATTTTGATTAGTTTAGCAAACATAATAACTTAAAAACATAAGTGACAGGCTCATCACTAATCCATAATTCTATTCCTGGAGAGATATGTTTCATTCAAATGTCTGTTAAAAAAAAAATACAAATAATAACAGATAAACGTCTGCTTACACAGAAGCTGAGCAGCCAAGGATTTTTCAAATTCACAGAAATTTGTCTAAAAGTATATTTCATGTCCTGGAGTTTCCAAAGAAATGAAAACTATTATGCTAAAATGTCCACAATAAATTAAACTCCCCTTAAAAATAAAAGCAGTTTCAACCAGCTATACCGAGGCTGCTCTGTCACACAGAGTGAAATAAAATATCTACAATGCCATAAAGCTTCTTGATTTGAAAGAGGGCAAATGTTAAAATACACTGAGCACGACCAACATTTGTATTAAGCGCGTTCATTGAAGCATCTATTGTCCAATTTTAGAGTGAAATCACTCACGTATTCGTGCCAGCGCTTCAGCCAATTTTGCAACGCAGGTCTTTGTGGTGGCAGATTGGCTGGGAGCATATGGCTAATAGCACTGCCGTGACAATAAGCCACACTGATTAATGGACGCCCTGAGCTCTTTGTGTGTGTGTGTGCGTGTTGTGTTGTGTGCAAAGCCCCCGCTGCAGAATCAGCATGTGAGAACATGAGGCAACAGCCGTAACTTTGACCTCAGCGGCTGTTGAAGACAAGCGACTGTTTACACTCGCTGCAGAAGCCATACTTTCTGCACTGTTGCTCCCCCAAAGGAAGTATTTAAAACAAAATCCTGCAGGACAGAACGAGCACCTTCTACCGTACGAGAGTCATACTGTACAGGTTACGCAAGCACATTTGATTCAGGTCCGCAATTATCCTCCACTTGATGAACGGCAATAATTTACAATAAAATCTGTTGCCAAATTGTTTATTTATATATTCACTGTAAATCCGAATTTCAGTTGGTCTATCATGAGCCTCTCCAGCTGAACTGCCTGAGGAATATTCACCAAGCTATACGATGAAGTATTAGTGGGCCTGATTTCACAACTAAAGTCCCTGTGTGCGCATGTAGATGAACCCCAATTTATATTGGTACAGTTAAAGTTTTTCAGTGACAAGGTCAAGGAAAAAGAACAACGTAATTCATGTGCTAAATCTGAATTTTTATAACTGCGCTGTGCAGGGTTCTGAATACACAAGCATACTTCTTTGTGTCTACGGATCTATGTGTGTGTGCGAGTGTGTGTGTGTGCGCGAGTTCCTGCCTATTTTTTATAGTCAGATTGAAGAGCAAGGCCCATTTGTTAGCCATGAAACAACAGAAGGGTTCAGATTGACTAATGAGTTTCTCTGTGTCCTAATTAACCAGGCGTCAGAGACACATGCGCACACAAACTACACATGTTCCCGCGCGCACGTTTCCTATTGTATAGGATAGGTCGGCAAAACGCCCCTATAAATAGAACTTTCCTCCCAACCTACTTCCAAAGAAATTCATCTTAAGCTTATAATTAAAGCAACAACTATGATAGCCAAAACTCATCTTCCTCAACAGATAGGGCTTCAGGTGTGTGTGCGTATGTGCGTGTCGGGGGGGGTTAATGAGGGTGACAAAATAAGAAATGTACACAGCGGTGATTGGTGAGAACTTCACAGGCAAAGTATGCTGGAGGAGAGAGGAGAGATGTGATGCATCTGTTCTCACCTGCACATGATCTCATGTGTCAGTAGCACTCTGCACATCTCTGGGTTCTTGTCCTGGCCTTCGTAAACAATCGGCTGAAAAGAAAGAGGAGAAGAAGAAAGCGGAGAGTTAAACTCGCAGGCTCCAGCGTGCTCATTTCACAGCAGACCAAAGCCTCTTCCTGTTTTTATTTACGGTGTGTGAGTGGCTCACAGAGATCCATTTAACTGATATGTAATACAACAACAGAGCAATCATCAGAAGTTGGACAGATGAGATTTGTTAATGGGATCAGTGAATTGTTTTTGTGGGAACTTTAAACCTTCATTTTCAAAAAAAAAGCTTTGAGGAAATTACTATCTTAATAGTAGATTTATATCATAACGAGCATGAAGCTGCACCTTGACTTGTAGTTTTTCTGTAATGCAACTGCACCGTACACTAAGAATAGCGCCAAAGTGTTATTGAGATAATAGGTTAGGTCCCACTTCACCTCCATGAACGCATCCTTCATCAGTAGCACCTCTACTTCACATACACTCACACCCATTGTGTCTCACACCCCTCCTTACACACACACACATGCACACATACGCACACACGGAGCTGATTCGCACTCATTGTTTTAGAAAATCCTCAAAATAACAACCATCATCTCATCGGCTCTGGAGAATGGTCCTCACATTTTCTGCCTCTGCTGCCGAGGCTTCACCTGCTTCTGTTACACAACACTCCCGCGCTGCTATGGAAGCAGAATAAACCGGCATAAGTCCCACACCACTAAGCTACCTATCAATCAATACGCACGCCCTGTCAGTCTTTGGTCTGCAAAAGCTGGTTTGATGTGTCGTACCGAAAACTGCGGCGAGCCTGACTGAGTGACAAGATCGCTTTCCTCATGAGCAGCCAGGAAGTTTCTCTGCCCTTTCAAATCATCTCTGGCTCATGTTTAGACTGCCTGCTGCCATCAAGTGAACAATGATGAATGAATAAAGCTGATTTTAAGACCACTTAACAAGGCCACACTGACACCGCCATACTTGGAAAATGAGACATGTATATTCACATGTTAATGCATACCTATGTTATGTCTAAGTAGCTTTAAAGCTTATACTACACATGGCCCAAAACTCAAATGCAAACCCTCTAAGAAGAATAATCAGTGCTTTTATTTCACCTGTGATTCCTTGTCATTCTCCATGAAGTGAAATTAACAGGGGCACACTTTGCTGGTTGCATAAAACAGGATTCAGGGGCACAGTGGAGAGGCTCTGAACCTCCCAGTGGCTTCTTATTGGGGCCTCAAGATGAGCAAAGGGTGTAGGCTGAACCTCTCATTTGTACCAACTATGTGAAACTTAATGGAAAGCAGTGACAGAGGCTGTACTGTCTGAGGGCCCCAGTATTGTAGCCTAAAGCATTTCATACTAATAGCTAGCTGTGTTTTCTGGAATTGGAGCCCCCATGTGTTTCAGGGCCCGAGGCCCTTGTCAGTTACAATTTTCCATGCATGTGCATATTCCATTTGAACCCCTCCTCCCCACGCCTGCAGGAAATCTATCGATATGTGAACCTGGAGACCGAAAAGCTCCTGGTGGTCCAGGATTCCAGGGATGTGCACCCACAGTCGATTCAAGCACGGGGTGAAAATATGAAACAAAAATGAGCTCATGGAGGAATCTGCACCAGGCTAAGCTGACATTCTCCAAGAAAAGCCAATCTGACCAAAAGCTGTCAAAGCGTCTGACGCAAGTTCAAATACGCAGGAAAGAAAATAAGCGTTTGTTCAGATTGTAAATATTTTAAATGACCTCAGACAAAGAAGAAAAAAAAAACCGCTCCCATTAACACACTACTGAGGTTGATCCGACACCCAACATCTGAAACTCTTTCTGGAAACGCTCACTCATCAACATTTGAACTGTAAAATCCCCCTGATTGCCCTTTAATGAAAGCCAAATCTAAGTGTGGGGAAACGCAGAGAAGGACAGAATTCTGACAGAGCAAATCTGAAGAGGAAACGTGTTTTATAAACCACAGTTGTGTCTGTGATTAGTCCTGCTCCTCGCGCCATGGGAAAAGAGTGGGCCAGGAGAAAGCAATGAGCTTGCTCCCTAACCTCGCCGAGCGCGCATCACCATCATCTCTTCCCTTTTTTTTTTTTGCACTTTGCTATTTTCTTGTCTTACGCCCACACGCAAACACACAAGTAAACCATTAAACCTTTGGCTGGGTGAATGCATTGATCTTTCTAAACAGAACAGCCGTGTCGCCCGTGACACGTACCACCACATAACAGCCCACCTCCTTTATTTAAGGCGATCGGGTCAACAGCATAGATGAGCTACAGTCTGGGTCATGCAGCAAAAGTAAAAGTTTGTAACTGTAAAAGACATCCAGTTCTTTCCCACCTGACTGATTGCTGCTCGCCCTGTGCCAACAATCTTTCTTTTTTAAACCAGTTTGGTTTTCGAGAGAGGTCTTGCGTTACGGAAGGTAAAACAAAACATTAGTATTTACGGCAGAACTGCATGAAACTAAGGTCTAAAGTTTCTAATTGGTCTGCCCTCATGGCAGCTGGAGACCTCTGGAGCTCCAAAGAGGAAAAAGTGACAATGCAAAGATACTTCATCCACCCTCTGTGACAGCCTCTTGTGTTAGTGTGTACCTTCCTCTACCGCCACGGCCCACGTTTGCCTCAGATTCTTCATTGCTGTCACTTTGCCTGCTCTGCTCCTCTCTTTCATCTGCTTTTCCCTCCTCTGTCTCCTTCCTCTCTCCACCTCAGCAGGCCTTTCACACAGCATCTTTGCTTCTCTGTTCCCCACCTTTGAAGTGGCGTGATATGTGCGGCATGTAAACAAGGATCCGTTAAGCAGGGGAACACACTTCCTCCTGCGTTAGTGTCAGGTCGACTAGCGAGCTAGTGATCCGACAGGGCCGCAGTGACAGACGCTTTATTCTCCGGGACAGAGTCGTGATCAACGAGCTCCGCGCTCTGCTTCTGAAGACTAGGAGGTGCTCTCCTTCTCCGTTTAACACAATCAGTTCTGGCCCTCAGCGCACAAACACAGAACAGGTAGACTTACAGAAATAGAACAGAAACAGGCAGCAGCTTTTAAATGCCAAATGTTGGAGTAGGCTTTTCCTTTACTGGCTGTTAAATCACAGTGAGAAGGGCGGAAAAAAACAGAATAAAAGCCGTTTGCCTCATGATAGTGTGTTGCACATACTCTGAATTACAGAGTCAAATATTTAAGTAAAACTAAAATTAATACTTTACACCGCTGATCAACTACTAAAACTGAGAAATTCATACTAAAAACAAATCTATGTTTCTATTGTTTACTCTGAATAATCTTAGAGAAATGACCCTCTTGCTTTCTTGTTTTTATCGTCTTCTGTTTCTGGGCTTTTAAACAGTGAAACGTGTGAAAGGTATGCTACTACGGCACCAAGAGAGATTAACGAGACTAGAATAAGGCTGGATTTTCGAGCATTTGCATCATGACAAATGTAAATATTGATGATTATTTCCTAAGTTGTAAAACAGAAAGCCTGTTTCATTATCACGGTTACAAACTCAGCAGCTCTTTATTTTGTGTGTTCCTGTCAAAAATGTGTTTGGGCATGCTGGGCTCGGGTCGTGTGTTTTCAATTTTGGTGGATGAAGCCACATCTTGTTAACAACCAGTGAAATAAGAGCGACACCAGTGCAACCTCTGGTCTTCTGTGTGGCTTCTTCTTCTTTTCTTTTTTTCCCCGCCTGGCAAGACAACAGTGGGTGCGAACAAATGCCTGTGTGTGCGGTTAGAGACAGCGGCCATGACATCACTGACCAGCTAAGCCAACCTCGCGACTGTTTTGGTTTGACCACCTGTTAAAGTTCCATTCCTCCACTACTGGGAATAACACACACACACACACACACACACACACACACACACAAACTCAAGCGAGCATGCTTTACGCCTTCTCCAAAGCACCTTTGCACATTTACTGTATACATACAGCACTAAACACCTGCTCCCCTTCCCCATCCACACAGCCACACAGCAGCACTCACACAGTGCAAGGAAGGCACCACAGGTGCAGCACACCTGCCTCCATCCTCCCC